GTATTCAGTCTATTGATTGATGAGGTGGCGAGGAGGAGGAGGAATCCGAAGTAGAAGTGGGCTGTTGTCTTCTTCTCTCTCCTTTGTCTATTCTCCCTCTCTCCTCCTTCGTCTGTGTATGATTCTCACCTCATTCTATCATCACACATATTACGATTGTTTGTCATTTCATCAGCAGATCGATAATCATAGGGACTGGTAATGTTGACGAGTATCATCACGTCTGGGCTCATTGCAAATATATACATATACCATCAAACAGTAGATATACATCGTCAAACAGAGCTGCCCGGTGAACCGTAGGCAGAGAGGGAAGGAGAAGAGGACAACAAACGAGAGGCTGTGACAAACTGTTTCGTCGGAGTTTCACCGACCTGCTCATCAGGAGGCTGATATATATGATATATATATATAATATCATATCATATATATATAACGACTTAACTGCAGTGGCAGACAAACAGATGTCCAATCTCCTACTTCAGGCCTTGCTCCACTAGTCACCGTTAGAAAATGGGACGATACATCGCCTTATTTTTTGACATCTGTGCATTAGGTGACTAGTGGAGCGAGGCCTGCCTACGTGTCGCTCATGATTAGAGTCCTTCACATTCACAGAGCCAGACCAACTGCTATAACGAGGTACACAACGTGCTGCAAGTGCCATTGCCAGACCCACTCACTCGTACCTGATTTGGCTCTCCAACGATTATGAATCCCTACATCCTGCGACATGACAGAGGTAGCCCCCGAACACATTAGCCGAGAGAGCTTCAGCCTCGCAGCTCCTGAGCCGGGCTGTAACAGCGATAGGGAGGGAAACAGGGTTCGACTTACCGCAGCGCACTGTTTGTTGATGACGATCCTCTTGGGCAAAAGAGCTTCAGCCTTGCAGCTTCTGATGGCTATGGTAGCCTTCAGATAAGTCCCCTCCTATTCGTACCTCCTCTCAAAAGTTCCCGTCGTTCCGACACGTAGGAGGAGTAGGAGGGACACTACCGGTAGTCTCCCTCCTCCTCCTCCTGCCTCTTCTCCTTCTCCCTCCGCTCTTCTGTACGTCTTCCTCGTGGTCGACTTCTTTTCCTTCTTCCTTTCTCCTTCACCTTCTTCCTTTTCTTCTCCTTCTCCTCCTACTTCCTCGTCTTTCTCGTCTTCTTCTCCCTCTTACCGGTAGGCTCCCTCCTCCTCCTCCTCCTCCTCCTCCTGCCTCTTCTCCTTCTCCCTCCCCTCTTTCTTAAGTCTTCCTCATGGTCGACTTCTTTTCCTTCCTTTCTCGATCCTATTTGACTCACTACCTGCCTGCACCTATCCGATAAACATGGGGCAAATAGATGGTAGGAACTAGAAATGGGGGCGTCAGTAGATGTCGTGAATAGGCAAAGGGAAGGAATGCAATCGTGCAAATTGACGAGTGAAGAAGGTGAACCTCCCGCCGATGTAGACCAAGCTGCAACTGAAGTGCTACTATACTACGGTAGGATATTACAGGTAGGACGAGAACCAGGGAAGGTCAGGAAAGGTGATGGGCGGGATTATACGAATTGCACCAACTGGAGGAGCTCATTCGGTTGCTCCCATCGGTCTGCTCTGATATCAATCCAATCCAATCCAATCTATCTTGATGAGCAGATCAGTTGCTTGGCTTATTGGTCCGCTCCGATGCCAAACTAGCATGCTCTCTCTCAAACAGGCAAGACATATCCAAGGATTCCCCAAAGTGCAAGGAAACAATAATGTGAGCAGCGGAAGGTATTAAAACCACAAATGTCGCTCACCCAACTCTCGACATGACATGCACATGCATCACCACACATGAGATGGACAAGGCGAGCTCATACATAGAAGAGAGATGCCACCATGCCCCAGACACATGGGGAGACACACTGCAGAAGATGGAGGTGATATACTAGATGAAAAGGGACAGAAAAAGAAAAAGAGCCCCACAGGGCCCACACACATGGGGAGAAAAACTGAAGAAGATAGAGGTGAGGCACGAGATGAAGAGGGACAGAAGAAGAAGAGAGACAAACCACAGAAGACGGAAGTGAGGCAGCGACTGAAGAACAAAGGAAAGACTGCAACTCAATATATCAGTCAAATGATCATAGCCTCATCAAATAGTCCCAAAAAATATTCCCAAGATAGTCTCAGTTCAAATGTTGTGTCCGACTCCGGGGAATAGCCCCAAAGATAGTCACCAAGTCTCTCTCTCTCTCTCTCTCTCTCTATATATATATATATATATATATCGTCACAAATAGAACTGCCCGGTAAACCGTAGGCAGAGAGAGAGAAGAGGACAACAAACGAGGGGCTGTGACAAATTGTTTCGTCGGAGTTTCACCGACNACAAATAGAACTGCCCGGTAAACCGTAGGCAGAGAGAGAGAAGAGGACAACAAACGAGGGGCTGTGACAAATTGTTTCGTCGGAGTTTCACCGACTCATATATATATCTGTGTGTGTGTGTGTGTGTGTGTGTGTGTGTGTGTGTGTGTGATAGAAGAGGAATGATGGATATGGGAGGCAGAAGAAGAAGAAGAAGAAGAAGAAGAAGAAGAAGAAGACAAAGGTGGCGACAGACTAATGAAACCGTCCAGTAGCTAGTTGCCTCCGAGGTTTCCCTCAGGATAGCTGGAGCTGTTGAACAATTAAAAAAAAAAGAAGAAAAAAAGTTCTCTCTCTCTCTCTCTCTCTCAAAACTAGATATGACCAGCAAAAGATGAAGTGTTGAGCTGTCCTGTACTGCAGGTGAAGAGTGATCGCGCCAGGTGAGTCCTCTCCAGAGCCGCACCTCCGCTGAATCAGTCTCCTGCTCCACTGACCTCCTGCAATGACCCACACAAAATCACTATCTCAGATTCCTGCAATTTCTAAGAAGATGTTGTTCTTTGGGTCTGTTTTCTGAGAATTCAGTGTCCGAGTCTGTTTTGTTAAATGTGTGTGTACACTAAAACTACCATGCAAACGCTGTGTGCTCGTTGAGAGTAAGTCTGTGCCCATGTGCTGACCCTTTTGGCCGTGTGTGTGGGGCAGTGACTCAAACAGGGACAAGGTAGGCAAAGAGTGATGGGAAGGGGCAGGACTGCAAATTAGCAACGCATGATAAGCTCGGGGGTAGTTTGGCTCCCAGGGGCAAGTGTAGAACTGGTCAGGGACCAGGTACGATTTTCCAGCAACCTGGGACCCCGTGTGCGTAGCAGGTAGGCCAGTAGCAGCCTTTTGCCCTTTTCTGCCTACTGCCCGATACTGCTAGATTTTGGCTACCGGCTGGCCACTAGCCACGCACAGGACAGGCTTCGTATCAGGCCTTATGCCTCAACACACACCAATCCGCACTCTCTGCCGCACTCGGATGGGCCCACACACACACAGCACACGGATTCGGATAGTGGGAAATTTGCAAACACAGAGAACACAGACACTGTGGCAAAAAAATCAAAAAAGCACAGGTTTCTCAGTCTGCAATTTTGAAGGTTACTACACGTGCATAGCAGCACACATGGCAGCACACATAGCAGTGCACACAGCACACATAGCGCAACAAATGGCAGTGCACATAGCAGCACACATAGCAACAGGGATAGCAGCAGAGATGGTGCATAGGACCTGTGGCACACAATAACCCACATATCATTGTAAATAACAGCGCACATAGCTTAGTGAAAGCCTTCCACGATTCAGACCCCAAATTCGGGTCTCAGGGTCAGAAGCCTGACAAAAAAAGACCGAGCTCGTCAAATTCAGAAAAAGTCACAATCGGGCACCTCAGGGGTCCAGTCCAATGGGAACCCAGTAAACAGTCACATCTTAGGGGCAAGAGTCACGTCTCAGAATGAGAAGTCATATTGAAGAGTCACATCCCACGAGTAAAAGGGCAGTTCCCCAGGCAAGAGTCGTGTCCCAGAGGCAGGAGACAGTCCACAGTCAAAATCATGTTCTCAAGCGAAAAGTCATGACCCAAAGGCCCACACAGCAGCAGACCCATGGAAATTCGGGAAGGTTCCAGGCCTTGACATTCTGAAGCAGACAGGCTGTGGGGAATGTGGTACCGGAACCAGTCAGCCCCCAGAAACCAGAGGCTGGCACGAGTTGAAGTGCATTCCAAGACTACAATATGTCAGAGAGCAGCGCTGAGCGAGATGAGAGAGAGGAAGCAGACGCTGGCAGAGAAGGCGGCGCCAGCACCAGGAGGCAATGTAGTTAGTAGTTAGTAGCAGAGCAGTTGATCCTCATGTGTGTGTTAGTAGGGAGTGCGCATGTGAGAGAAGACGAAGACTGTGAAGAGTGAAGACCAGAACCATCAAGTGAGAGAGAGATAAGAGGGAGAGAGAGTGAGCTATGGTAGATGCTTGCCTGAAGGGTGTTGAACTTTATGTTGGAAACAAGCACTGATGAGCACAGACGCTGAGACTCTTGATGATGGAAGAAGACTTGTAATCTTGTTGTGCGTTGGACAGTGAACTCTTGAGTCCATAATAGCGAGATGGATTGAATCAGATCTGAGTAAGTGATGGTTTGCTGCAGAGCTAGGAAAGAGAGCTACAAACATCAGCACAGATCACAACAACTAAGGGCATTCTTACGGTCTAAGGGCATTCTTACGGTCAGTTCAGGGCGGATAGGGCAGGTAACCGCTTGAGATTTAAGTGGAAGGTGGGAGACCAAGAACTAGGTGGATTGCACGCAACAGAGGTAGCTAATGCGGGGCATACTCACACTAGGACATTTTTGACTTTGTGCATGTAAGTGCAACGAGATAAATGCAGGGCAAACCGAAATCGCAGAGGCATGGCAAGCAGAGCAGCTGAACCGGGATGTGCGATCTACCAGTGAATTGTGGAACGTCGCAGCTGCAAAGAAGGGGACACAGCTGCAGATGACTTCTGCGAGCCACCCAGAGGCATGGCAAGCAGAGCAGCTGAACCGCACTGTACAACACCTGCTAAGGCACTATATCAAGCCTAACCAGGTGGATTGGGATGAGATACCTGCTCTAATCGCCAGCCCGTACAACAACGCTCTGCACAGTGCAACAGGGGTAAGCCCTAACAGTCTGCTACCGACCTTCAAGCCTAGATTGCCCTAGACTTTCTACTACCCGAGAACCAGCCGACTGCTGCACCAGGCACCTAAGAATTCGCCTATCAATATGACAGCAAGCTGTAGAACAAATGCACAAAGCGTAGGCGGCAATGATAGAGTCTGAGAACAAGCGTCGCCGCCCATCTACATTCCAGGTACGGAACAGAGTCTGGGTCAAAGCCTCTGAACTGGGGCAGTGGCATGGGGTCTCCCGCAAGCTCATGCCACAGTACTTCGGGCCATGGGAGGTATGTTGTCAGGGATGATCCGGACGAGCCATCATATGTAATTCGGATCCCTGGTCACCTCTGCACCTAACCTGTTTTTCACGCCTCTAAGCTTCGCACCTTCCAAGGAAACTGATCAGTTTCCTTTCGTCGCTCAATGCTGCCCCCAACCATGGACGGAGAGGTCGACATCGACCACATCGTGGAACACAGAGAAATGCCAGTTCCAAGACCAACAGGCAGAGGCCGTCCTCCTAAGCTGAAGCTGCAATATCGCGTTCGGTTCAGACATCACACTGATCCTAAAGAGGACAGATGATTTACCCAGGAGGACCTGATGCAGAGCGCTCCACAGGCTGTCGCTCACTATGAGAAGTCACTGCAGAAAGGAAAGCGGCAGATTGAGTAATTGAAGTTCTCAGAGGACTGTCGAAGTATGGAGGAGGAAATGCGAGGCTCAAGGCCTCGATGAGCCCTACTGGGCCATGTTCTCAACAAAATCGGCCACCCTAAGTGAATGCATCCCCGACAGGGGACGAGAGGCCTCTTTTGGGCTATCCATTCAACCGGGAAATTCAGGCAGTTATGCATCGCCAGTTGGTTGAGAGAGCCCAGGCCCTGCCTGCCTCTTTCCAAATGTATCTGCGGCAGGCCCTGGGCTAGACACGGGGCATGAAACGGCACGTAGGCCTCTGGCAGTTGGACACGGGTAACCACCCCAGGCCCTGTGCCTGATTCCTTTGGACCGGGGCTCAGCCACTTGGGGCCTACCGGAATCTTCTAGGCAGGTGCCCAGCGCAGCAAGGCAGCACGCAGCAGGCAGGCCACTTCCATATAGGAAAGTGCCTGCCTCCGCATTCAGCATTCAGGCACTTGCTACATGCTGCACAAGCGCTGCTGCGCTACTGGCAGGCAAGCGCCCATGCAATCACGGGCGAGCAAGGTACACGCAGGCAGCCATAGCCGAGCTGGCCTGCGAGGTGCTGGATGGGGTGCATGGTGGTCCTTGGGTGCACGTGGCATTTGTGTAGGGGATCGAGGTTGTGAGTGATGCGTGAGACATATGTTACATGCTGCGCCTGCACACGAGGGCCATTTTCCAGGCCCTGCGTCGTTCAGGCTGGAAGCCTGAATTTCAGGCTCGAGGCCTGGAAATAAGGGCCTGCAGACCCCATGACGGTTCAGCCCAAAAGCCTGACATCCGAGGCCCACAGGCCCTGCATCGTTTCAGCCAAAAAAAGGCCTGAGCCTTTTCAGCCTGAAACTGAGGGCTACTTCCGGGCCTACAAGCCCCATAGCGGTTCAGCCCAAAAGCCTGACATCCGGGGCCCACAGGCCCTGCATCGTTTCAGCCTAAGAAAAGGCCTGAGGCTCTGAGCCTTTTTAGCCTGAAACTGAGGGCTATTCTCGGGCCCTCGTCAGACCGACCTGCCCTGATATAAGCACATTCGGGCATTGGCAGGAGTGACCTGCCCCGAAGCTTCCTCAGGGGCTAGCACATGCAGGCATTGGCAAGAGCAGCCTCCTGGACGGGCCAGCACTATATAAGACTGGCTCACCCTACAGGTTGACACAGACAAGAGGCGACTGCCCAGGCACTCGATGTGCACTTCTACATTCAGGAGCAGTAGTCTTCAGGATTCTGCAGTAGTAGAGTAGCGTTAGTTGTAGTGTTCAGCGATGGGCGCTAGTAGCAGTAGCGTCAGAGTAGTTGGAGAGAGGAGGCTGGCGGAGGCCAGGGACTTACCTGTGGCGCCATCGCTCCAGCTCGTCGTCAAGGTACCTGCAGTACAGCACCACCATCACAGGTTAATACCTGGCTCCTGGAGAGAGAGAGAGAGAGTCCTTCTTCCTCCTCTTCTCAATTCACCATCTCTCTCCTACCCTCTCGCTATCTGACTTCACTGCTTCAGCAGACTACGGGAGTGAGAGTGGTCTACTTGCAGAGGTTACAGGCAGGGGTTGTCACGGGTATTTGGCCCAGGATCTGATTCGACATTTTTGGGCAGACATTGGTTGGACTTCGGCAGGGGACTATTTTGAACTTTGCTATTGCGATCCTAGTCTTCTCCCTTGCCTCCATCTTCGTCCTTCCTTCCCCCTCCATCTCTCATCCGTGGTAACTCCCCATGTGCGTGTACGAAGAAGGGACCTTCGTCTGTGTATGGGGTCCCTCCTTTCCCTCTCACATGTGTGATGTATGATGGGATGTCATAACAGTCCAGGTCAGGTCAGGACTTATCTCCAAGTCTTCCGCTGTGCTATTAAATGGCATTTTTCATGTATCAGGACGTACACTGTCCGTTGATGCTTCACTCACAGTACATTGTCCATCCAGTCCTTTTTATCACATTGCGGATCCTTGGCTGAACACACATGACCCGACTGGGCATGTAATAGTTGGTATCGGAGCACCGCACGTGAATCAGGACTACCTCATCTGACACGTGTACGGGGAGCTAGCTAGTGAAAAAGACTCGACTGATTTATTGGTTGGTTGAGCACACTAGTTAATCCCCAAAATCACGATTTTGACCCAACTGCCAAAAAAATCGAATTTTTTGTTTTCTTTTTTTTTGGATTTCGTTTTCCCGTTATTTCTGATGGTGAAAAAATCGCAGTAGGCTAGTAGCACAACTCCTGAAATTTCTGTTGTCTTGTTTTCTGAACAGTTGAAATTTCGTTGTTGGAAATCCGGAATATCTCTTTTTTCAAAAATCTCGATTTTGCAGTTTCCAGTTACTTAGAATTTCGGAATATTTTTTTTCGAAGTTCATTTTTCTCAAAACTGTTCGGGAAATCTCTCTGGCAGTACTATCCAAACTGCGCATATTCTCATCGAAGCAAATCCGAATCTTTTTGTAATCATTTGCAGTCTGGAAGTTCGATTTTTTTTTTTCTTTTTCTCAGTTATATTTTGCACTTCGGGGGATTGGGGGAGCTTGCTGAACTTGCAAACAAATATTTTTTCGCTTTTCTTCGTCCCCTCAAATTTTTTTTTGCAAAGTTCAAACTTTTCTGTTTCGATTAGCGGCTCCTTATCTGGGCGATCTACCCCACCCACCCTCCCTATCTACGTTGTCTGCCACGTCTGATCTCATCTTCTTCATCTATTCCGGGTATTCCCTGTGGTGGCATTGGTAAGTTGCCACGACAGCGGACCACGTCAGCAGGCCACGTCAGCGGACCACGTCAGCAGGCCACGTCAGCAGGGAGTGCCACGTCAGCCACCCAGGCCTGTTTATGCTGACGCGCTCGCAGACAGCCGCCATGGACCAGAAACCAGGGGAAACGGCGGAGGCATATCAGAACCGCATGCTGGCTTTGATCACAGAAGCCAAGCAGCGGGCGGATGCAGTAGCAGCCGCAGAGAAAAAGAAGGCGGAGGATGCCGAGCAGGCACGTTTGCTGGCTCTTGAGCAGCAGCGCCTGCAGGCTGAGGCAGCAGCGAAGGCTGGAGATGAAGAACGCATGCAGCGGCGTGAGAAGATTTTCAGCGGGGAGCAAGCTTTGCTCACATTGCCAGCAGAATGGTGAACTGAGGCAGAGACAGGGAAGATGGCAGAGAGCAAGAACAAGATTGCCCTCCTCCTCTCCCATCTCACGGACCTCCTGGCGACATGCATCGCGCAGCAGGAGGACATCCATAGCCTTGATAACGAGGTCAAGAGCGTTCGCCGCCGCGTAGAGTAGCTGGAGCAACGACCCGCCGCCGCCCCGGACGCAAGCTCCTCCAATACCACGGATCGCCTTAACGCATTGGAGATTGACGTCGGCGCCCTCAAGGACGGCGCACGGTTACAGCAAACCGCCACTCAACAGTTGGAACAGCGGGTCTGTGCTGCCGCCGCCTGCCCGAGTTCGACGGTCAGGAAATCTTAACCCCCTCTTATTTGCCCATGGGGGACACAGGTGCTGACACATGTCCACCCAGTCTCACAGAAGCGGCACGCTCGTGTCCTCTCTCTCCACCCATATCTCCCTGCATCCCAACTCCATAAAGCATCCGGCATGGACACATAGTAATCTTGGCAGACATCGGGCGGGCTAGGTTGTGGACCGGGCCATTTGTTGATGCAAGCATCATAGGAGAAGGTGAAGAGGTGAACGATGTTGAGGCACTCGTCGTAGTGCCCATCATCATCCCCCCTGGCCCACCCGGGAAAACCCCGAGGCCACCACCAACAATGCTCGACCGTGAGGGGTGATGCAAGCATCATAGGAGAAGGTGAAGAGGTGAACGATGTTGAGGCACTCATCGTGGTGCCCATCATCATCCCCCTTGGCCCACCCGGGAAAACCCCGAGGCCACCACCAACAATGCTCGACCTTGAGGGGGTGACCCCTAAGCTGCTTGTGCCCACAATGCTCGTTGGGCCCCCAATTTTGTGCTTGACCCTCTGAAGCTCCAGATTGATATCATAAAATGCAGCAGTTATCATTCGATGTTCTTTCATCGCCATTTCCTTGTTTTCTGCACGTGCTTTATCAGCAATTCGTATCTGGTGCTTCAGCTCCTCAACCTTGCGCCCCAGAGTGGGCACCGGGCGCCCAGAGCCGCACCCACCTACACCCACCCGACCCACAGGGTGATGGGTCAGATTTAGGTCTACATGAGCTGTCTTGGGTGGGTTATGGGCGGGCGCAGCCAGCATGCCTTTCTGGGTGACGGGCGGGTGAAGATTTGACCTGGGTTACCCGTTGGGTGGGTGGCAGGCCGGTGATGGCTTGGCCTGGGTCACCCGACCCATAGACCCAGGATGACCCGAAAATTATGCAATCCCCCCCGCCCCCCCCTCCTTGTGTAGTACGTCAGGCTTGAGGTTGAGGTTGTATAGTGTCTGATTCAGTTGACCAGGTCCCCTGATGAAGTAACGCCGGTGCGAAAGCAGTGCAGCTGCCCCTGGGCAAAAAAAAAAAATCTTGAAATATTTTCCTTTGAGAAGTTCGAGTCGCATTGTTGATGTTGCCGTTGTTTTAATCATAGGATTTTAGATGTCTTTGTTGCAATGCTATGTTGCAAATGAAATCATGATGGTGTAAGGGACTGGCGTGGGCAGGCGCGGGCTGAGGCGGGTGAAGAAAATTTAGGTATTGGACGCGGGCGGGTGATGATACTCTTACGGGTGCGGGCGGGTGTGGGTGAGGGCTTTTTTCGGGTCACGGGCGGATCGGGCGTGGTGCTGAAATTTCAGAAAATATTTTGGGTGGGTGGGGTTGTCTAAAAGTAAAAAATAAAATTCTTGGGCCGGGTGGATGGGGGAAAAAAAGATTTGGGCGGGTTAGGTCGAGGGTGAGAGAAAAAAAAAATTGCCCACCTCTGTTGAGCCCACATGCATCGAACCCTGAGTACGGTGTTTTCCAGAAAGTCTTCAAATTGTGGTTCAGCCCGACGCTCCGGTCCTTGCAGCGCAGTTCTTATCAATGAATTCCAACGAGAATTCCGTCAAATTAGCCCAGTCCATTGACCGTTCTTGAGCGTCTTCGTCGTGTGAAAAGCTTTCTGCAAATTTGTCAGAGAAGGATCTAGAAGGTCAGTGATGCTCTCATTATAAATCTGCTGCACATTGGGTTCTCGCCACTAGAATCGCACACCTTCTCTATCAAATATTTCCTCTCATTTCCAACGTAACAAAGCCAAATATTTTGTTGAGGCCTAGGATGTGAATATGCCCTCAGACGTTGCCTCCTGGCAAAAGCCTCTTTCTGATACTGAATTGTGCCACTCCCTCTAGCATACTCGGTCCTCTCACAATTCTGCAATCTTGCCATTTATCAGCCAGTTCCTGTAGAATTTCTGCCTCTCCTTGTTACGTTGCTCTTCATCTTCTGTCCAAGCTTGTTTGGTTTTCCGCCATCTGCAGAGAATCTCAGCTTTGTATCAAAGTTCTGGTTTCTATCCAACACCTTCTCTCGTGGGTTGGACCGCCCCTCAATTGACCCAAAAAAAGAATTTTTATTTATTTATTTTTTTGGCTTTTTCTATGCTCTCCTAGAGGATGTCAAATCCAGCTTTTTTTTTTTTTTTCAGAGTTGGCTGTCAAGAGGGGAGGAAGGGGGTATAAATTGGTTTTAAAAGGGCTAATGGGTTTGAATGGATTCCACCTTCCTAGCTGTTGTTTCTGTTTCTTTTTGGAATGGAATTGCACTGTTACATCAAGTGCTCATAGGAGAGAGCTTTTGCTTGGTGGAGAGTGAGCCATCGACTAGGAGTATCACTTCGATGTTCAGGGAGAGATCCTTTGCGAGAGCAAGAGGAGAACAGGCCTGCTTGTGTAGTAGAGTGCCAAACAAGAAGATTACATTGAACTCAGGCTGCACCTTGTACCAACCAGTGGCAAGGTCTGTGCTGTGGGAAGTTTCATTGAATTTCTAAGGAGAGATCTCGACTTCCTATTGCCAAGTTACAAATGTATGGCATATCTGTGAGCCTGACCCACCATAGCTGCAACCCCTATACCTTTCAAGTTGTGTGCGTGCGGTTTCTACCGATTGTAACTCTGAAATCTCACTCTATTGTGTAGCGATTTGGAGGAAGAAGGCAAACTCGATTTCCTTTCCTCACGGGGCCCTAGCCAACATGCACATGTTTTGGGTTGTGGCCCCCAGCAAGCCTCGTGCCCGCCCTAAGTGAAGGCGGGCCTGAATATCCACGAGAGGCCCTTATCTCAGCATTATCCAATGTGGGTATCAGACAGTTGCAGCACGCCAGTTGGTTGAAATGCAACCAAGGCCTCTCCTTGTCATACCCCAGAAGCAGCAGTTGCGTCAGGCAGCTGAGACTCAGGACGCAGGTGGTTGTGCACTGGGCACACGCAATGTGAGGCCGACACATCATGCATTGCCTTTGGATGAATGAGAAAAGAGCATTGTCATCACACAAAGGCCGCGAGCCAATGAGAAGGCAGCAAACACTTGAGTCTGGACGTCAGTCTCGACGAGCCTAACCGCACGGGGCCCAAGCCCTTAACTATGAAAGTGGGCCTGGGCATAGACACTGTGGCCCGACCGGAAGCTACTAAACTTCCTTGCCAGGCCTAGACAGCCGAAGCAGGACAATCAACTCCGATATAGGACGGAGTCTGGAGAGGGGACGGCATCATGGCCTAAGCAAGCAATGAAGCACACTGCTGTGTTGTTGAGCAAGTATCTGCACTAGCGCTGTTGGCTGAGGCGCACGCGGGCGCTATGAGGTGATCGGGGTGCTGCAGGGCAGCACGTGCAAGGCAACCATAGCCAGGTTGTAGAGGGCGCATGCGGGTCATGGGCGACAATAGTCTTCAGGGAAGGAGGCGCATGTGTGGGTGGTCAAGGTCTGATGAGGAGAGGAGAGGCGTACCTGGTGTATGTAAGGAGGTTCGCATTGGTGTTGACGTCATGTACATTGGTCTTCAACAGCGGAGTGAACCGGTTGCACGAATGTTGATAAAGTAGATAGGCTGAGCAAGTAGGCTGGGCGTTGGGCGCCATACAATAGCATTGGATACTGCGTTGGTGTGGCCCGAGGGCTTGGACATTGGCTCACGATTACATTGTATTGCTCTTATGTGGATGGAATCTCAATGCATTACTGCTCTCTGCTTGGTACACGACTATTTGGGCTTCTGCGTGATTTTACAACTTGGTTCCTTTCTATTGCTCTGATACCAAATTGCAAGGAAGGCCACCGCAGCAAGGGCGGTCGGCAAAAGATTCAAGGGCATACCCAAAACCCCAACAAGACTCCGACTTGGGTGAGGACGGTCAGCGAAAGATTCAAGGGCAAACCCAACCCCCCAACAAAACTCCGGCTTGGGTGAGGGCAGGTCTGGATCAAGAGGTGTGGCAGGACAGATATTCGCAAGGAGCTTGCATCAACTACGGCGAGTATGGCCATCAACTGTTTAGATGTAAGAACGTGAACGTGTCGCAGATGATACCTCCCAAAGGTGGCTCTAGGACTTCTTCTTGTGAGACTTCTACGAGCTCCAATTCGGACAACACCTTGGGCCAGTAAAAGTTGTAGTTGCTTCTACTCCTGATGAAGTGGGTGATGTACCGTCTGCACTTCAAAAGTAGGTGAAGCTATTGACTCTTTAATCACCTCTCAAACGCATACTGAACCAGTGATACTTTGTTCGTTGGATGTGTCTGACACCTTAGAATACTTACAAACCGAGTGGTCGAAGTGGTCAGCAAGGGATCATCGAGAGTCTTGCGTGGCGATAAGCAATGGTCCTAGAGGGGAGCATTTCGTGATGGAAGTTGGTGTAGGTGGCCGCAAGTGTGGTGCCTTCATAGACATCAGCTCCACACGAAACTTCATAAGTCGTGACTGCATTGAGATATTGCGCCTTGGTAAACCAGTAGCATCTACTTTGGCCAACAAAGAGCGCATGATGGTAAAATATTACGTCAAGGTTTTATCTGCACATTCTACTATGGAGGTGGGGAACTTAATCATAAGATTTTGTTCCTAGTCAACAACGACTTGAAGGGAGAATCTATAGGATGGCTCCGGCCGAATTGGATGAGCTTCAGCGGCAACTGGAAGAGCTCACAAAGAAGGGACTGATATTGCCTAGCATCTCCCCCTTCGGCTCACCCGTATATTCATTCCGAAGAAGGGGGGATCATTAAGGATGTGCACTGATTATAAAGGCCTCAATGCGATCACAGTTGAGAATACGGAGCCTTTACAGCGCATCGTCGACCTATTGGATAGGGTGCAGGGATGTAAGTACTTCACCAAGATCGACTTAAAATCCAGCTACCATCAGATTGCCATTAATCCAGAGGACCAACACAAAACTGTTTTTCAAACCACATACAATCTGTACGAGTGTGCCGTGATGCCCTTTGGCCTTTTCAATGTGTCGGGTACATTCCAGCACGTTATGAATAGGATATTCCATGACTACTCGGACAAGTTTATCGTCGTGTACCTCAACAACATACTTATCTTCCGTAGGAGTGTCGAGTAGCATGCCCGGCATGTAGACAAAGTACTTTCACTCCTCCGACAACACAAGATAAATCTAGAGAAATGCAAATTCGTTCACTCTAGAATCTTGTATTTGGGTCATGAAATATCCGCGGAAGGGATTAGGCCCAAAGACATTAAGGTGGCAAGCATTCGTGACTGGCCACGACTTCGGTCTGTGAGCAAGGTCAGATCATTCTTAGGGATGTGTGGCTATTACCGAACTTTATGAAGAATTATAGTACGGTTGCCTCCCCTTTGACTGATCTCACTCACCTTGACACACCATGGGAATGGACCGACGAGTGCGAGGCTGCTTTCAAGCGTTTGAAGCATGCCCTCGTGCACCATGAGATTCTTATGGTACCCGACCAACAAAGGTCATTCGTTGTGATTTTGGACTGCCCAAATCGATAGTTAGTGATAGAGATGTCCATTTCAGAAGTGAGATGTGGACGAAGGCAGCGAAACAGATAGGCAGTCAACTCCAAATGACTTCAGGGAATCACCCTGAAGCCGATGGGCAGGCTGAAAAGATGAACCAAGTGGTGCAGCATTTGCTGGGGCATTACGTTAAGCCCAGCCAAGATGATTGGGATGAGAAGTTGCCTCTCATCGCCAGCCTGTACAACAATGCAGTACACAGTATCGCCGGTGTCAATCCTAATCAGCTGCATTTGGGGTGAAAGCCTAGATCTGCTCTAGACTTCCTCCTGCCTGAAAACCGACCTGTTGCAACACCTAGAACTATTGAATTTGGTGTCCACTATGAGAAGTTGTTGCAGCAAGCTGTCAAACACATTACGAAATCTCAAGAAACAATGATTGCTTCTGAGAACAAACATCGACGACAGTCCACATTTCAGGTAGGGGGTCGTGTATGGGTCAAGGCTTAACCTAGTGAATAGGAAAGGAATTTGGAATCTCTACAAAACTAGTGCCTTCGTGACTTGGATGGTCCCTCATACGTTATCCACATCCCTTATCACTTGCACGTACCCTGTGTTTCACGCCTCGAAGCTTGCACCTTTCGCTGAGACAATAATTCCCATCAAGGAGATCTATGCTGCCCCCAACCATGGATGGCCACGTGGACATCGACGATATTTTGGAGCACAGAGACATGCTAACCAAGCCACTGGGTAGAGGAAGACCTCTGAAACCCAAGAGGGAATACAGAGTCAGATTCAGGCATCACACAGATCCGAAAGAAGACCAATGGTTCACACGGGAGGAACTGGGTGAAACAACATCTCAAGTTGTGAAAGAGTATGAAAGAAAATTAAAGGGGAAGGCTCCTGCTTAAGAAGCATCTCAGCGAGATTTCGAAGCTGAGGGCAGAATGTGAGGAATGTGTCCTCATGGGGGCCTAGCCAACATGCAAATGTTCTGCTTGAGTCAAGGCGGTTCTGGTTGAATGCTTCTCTTCCCTCCTCGTATCTCCTTCAGGCTGGCTTCTCCATTTCTCTTTCCCGTTTGTAACCATCCTGCTGTTATTGTCTCACCGAACTGTTAACATCATTGCCTCCCCTGAGTGTTGATGTCACCGGCTCAGTGGGCTACGGATGCCCTGAACACATCCAACTTGATCCAAGTGATCTGCGGGCGCCTCGATCGCTTGGCCGAATCAATTTGGAACTACCCTCCTCTGAGATATACTCTCTGCTGGCACGTGCAGTCTCAACGAGTCAACCGGTACCTGCAGGGTACCATCCCCAGAATTGAGTGCCAGCGTCCAGTAGGCAGTCCCGGTCCTTGCCCCCATTTCAGAAGGATGAGAATGCCCAGTGCCGGGCTCGGATACGAAATGCGAACCCGGCACCACTAGAATCGTCACTGGTGACTCGTCGATGAGAAGTATAGGTATAGGCCAGGCCACTGCTCCGGTGGAGCAGGCCCTGACGCAGCTGTTTTGGCTGCATAGTCCGCTGCATTTCGGTCCAGGTCTGTGTCCTCACCTAAAACCCAACGCCAATGCACTGGTTCAGCAGGTCGGCTCGACCCCTGCCATGGTCCAAATCAAGGGGGCCAGCGAAAACCAGCCATACTAAAATGAACACAGGTATGCGGTTAGTAGGTGAGGTTGGCCCCAACTTAAATGCCTCGAGGTGCCAATCAGCACCTCATCCTGGAATCAAGTCACCGAACCGTCGTAGTCATTGGGGAGAGGCAGTTAACAGAGACCCAAAATTTCAGCGTTTTTTTAATGCTATTTATAAGAAAACCAGAAGGCCTTTTTAACCAAAAATTGCATCATCCCATGTGCACACCACATTAACAAACCATTTAAAAAAAAAACGAAAAAAATAAATAAAAACAGGGTGAAACAGGAAGGCAAAAGTGCACTTGAATGAAATTTCTTTTCAGCAAATTTTCAAAATTTTCTGCATTTTTGGAAGTGGTCTTATCAGAGGAAATTCAAATGCTCCAAATGAGACCAAATTTGGTGCACACGAACCCTGAACTAAGACAAAAACAGGCCAAAAAGAAAAAAAGAAAAAAAAGAAAAAAAAGAAAAAAAAGGAAATTCCCACCCCAAACCCTGATTTCAGTTTTGGACCTGTTACTCAGGATCTGAAACTGCGGGTCCCCGTTAACCACGTGTTGTGCCGGCACCGAGAGGGTTTCAAGATAGTCATTCCGAACCAGCAAGCAAAGCAATGCTCAATACCACCTCCCCAACGTAGGACTCGACATATTCATAGGTATGAAAAACACAGGGTCACACCAACTCACACGCACACGAAACTACGGCTCCTAGTAGAGTATAAAATACGCCAGGGTGACTGCGCAAAGGAAACACAATCACATATAAAAATAAAGCATCAAGCATAATCGCATGTGTCGAGTTCCTCTTTATTGTTTGCTGTCTCCATCCTGATTTTTTAATTTCTCTACAGAAAATAAATAAAATCCCCGCGTTGTCCCGTTCACACAGAATAGCGAGCACTGAGTACACACCAATGACCAAGGTTTCACGGAGGATGAAATAACGGTAGAATAGCCTTATAGGGGGGTTCTCAATAAATTTATAAAATAAGTCTGAAAAAAGGTCAAAAGTAGGGTTAGTCTAAAGGGGTGGACGAAAGCAAAACAGGGGTCAACCCAGATGCCCTGTTCTCCCGACGTAAGGCAGATAAGAGTAGTCGCAAAATCGTGCCTAGCTACACAACACAGACTCGAAAATCCCCATTTTCGGGTGGCCGATTGACTTTGGCCGCCCGACACCGGTTCCCACTTAGAAAAGGCCCAGTTCCCAGCACATGGTGCTCCCTTTGCAAGGGAAAAAAAAAGTAAAAAGAAAGGATGAGGGCAGAGCCAGATGGACAAAGAAAAAGGAGAAGAACTCTCTCTCTCTCTCTCTCACACACACACACACACACACACACACACACACACACACACACACACACACACATGTTCGCGCGCCTGTAAATAAATACTCACCAGCGAAAGCTGAGTGTTGAGCTGACCGGTGAAAGCTGGAGCGTTGAGCTGTCCTGTGCTGCAGGTGGAAAGCCGGCTTAAGCCGAGGATGGAGATCCCAGCCATCGCGCCAGGTGAGTCGTCTCTAACACTGCACCTCTGCTGATCTCTCCTGCTTTGCTTTCCTCCTGCAATAACCGGCACAAAAACACCGCCTGAGAGTCCTGCAATTTCTGAGAATATGCTGTTCTTCGGGTCTTTTTTCTGAGAATCCCGAGTTTGCGTCTGCTGGGATTTGCAGCTCGGGTAGACCCTGGGACCGGGTAGCCCAATAGCAGCCCAGTTTGAGTAGTTAGAGGGCAAAGATTTCGGTTCCATGTTCAAGTGAGCATTACGCTGCTCCACCCACAGGGTGCAGTAGGCGGAACACTGGAGGTGAAGGTGGAGACGTCCACACGTATGGAGTAGTAGGTGGAGTTGATAGTGGTAGCCCATGGGTATGGAGGTGAGTGTGATAGACCTCTAGCCTGGTTATGGAGATGCATAGCAGGTAGGAGGACGATGAAGGAGGTGAGAACCAGGACCAAGCCTCGCATTTGGCTATGGCGAACCTTCATCTCACCTAGAAGGCCCCTGTGTGGGTATGGCTGTGCTGGAACTTCGTCCAAGAGCTTGGCTTCCGCAGATAGAGATGGGGAGAGGCATAGTGGACTTTGTGTTGTCCTTTGAACATCCCTGATGCACACGAATGTTCCGCCATAGCCAGGGCAGTAACCAGGTGAGGAAGAGTGGGTTTACGACTGCACGGAGGCTTCTTCGAGTGCTGGCATTAAGGGGGAGTAATCGAACGTTGATTCCAGCACTTCACTCCATTTTCTCTATACTTACTAAAGCAAACAAAGGGCCCGACGACATGCCCTGTCGTGGGCCGAGCAAAATCGTTGGTGCCGGGCGGTACCGGTAGGAGGCGGGGACAGGGCGGTGGTACTGCGGTCGGGAGGCCGACGTGGGGAGGTACCTGTCCGGGTTCGGGGGGGCGCAGGGGCGATAGCGGACGGGTGGGGGGAACAACATTCTGAGGTACCAGTCCAGGTTCAGGGAGGCGCGGGGGCGATAGCGGACGGGTGAGGGGAAAAATCTTCTGAACCCGGGCGATAGCGCGCGGGTGCGCGAGCGGGAGCGCGTGCGGGAAGTGGAGCGAACTACGCGAAGGCCGGACGCGGGTTCGGTGCTACCGCGGGCAGTGGGAATGATGGGAGAGAGAGAGAGAGAGAGAGAGAGAGAGAGAGAGAGAGAGAGAGAGAGAGAGAGAGAGAGAGAGAGAGAGAGAGAGAGAGAGAGAGAGA